TTGAAGATTACCTGTATATATTTCCAAGTCTTCTTTTACTTCTAATTGTCACATATCTGCAAAATACTGATAATCCTTCGATCAATCGACCCCCATTCGACCCCCTGGCTCAGATCGACCCCCGCTTATGTTAAATAGACCCCTGGGGGTCTATATAGACCACTTTGGCGACCTCTGGGTTACAATATCACGTCTTATATGAAAATATGTGGTCCCGCAGTGGACTGATCGTTAAGACACGGTTCTCAGCAGATCACCGAAGTCAAGCATCACTGACTGCGGTCAGTGTGCGGGTGGGTGACCACTTGGATCAGTCTGTGTAGGGACCGAGGGTGTGCGGTATTGGTCCTCGTTAAACTGTTCTACCGTAAAGTGCTCGACTTCGCGTGCAGGTCGTCGGGCTACCGAAGCGGGGGTGTCATCCCCTCCGCAGAGGATCCAAATTGTGATGGCATGTCTTCGGATCATCCTCAGGGATGATTCCCAGACCGTCGCCAATAGCCCATTGTGCAGCTCTGGTGCGACGTAAATGAACAAATCAATCAATCAATAAAAATATGTGAAAAATATCGTAGTTTTCCAATCACTATTTTATTTTTAACGAGTCGTTGCGACCATTGCATCATTCAGAAATGATGCGGTTGTGCAACGTGCAGAGGTAATTTGCTCCGAACAGCGGATAAATATTTTCCAGTGGTAGTCTCTAAATTTTATTTATAGGGATTTTACACATTACTATTTCTAAATGATTCAAAGACTTATGACTAATTAAGGTTGTTTTCCACAGTAAGTATATATGCAGGAAAATTCCAGCTTCTAAACTACTTATCAATAAAGTGGTACATTAAATTAGGAAATATCTTCTAGTAATAACTTAAATTTACTACCACTACGAAAACTTTTTAAAGACCGCGGGAACCCTGCTATTTTAAAAGTAATTGTGCGAAATTTATATTTAAGAATTGAATCTGTAGTGGTGGACAAGTGAATAAAGCAAACCAATCATATTCATAAATTAAAAAAATCTTTAGACATGTATTTGCTACCACTTTCTCAGTTTTACTAGATTTTATATTAAATGGCTCTTTCGTAAATTGGTTTACATTCATAGTGGTCAAATCAGACTACCTATATGTTACCGTGTGGAGGTTTTCAGTTATAGGAGGTGTTGTATCTCAGTTTTAATATAAGCTCAGATTAAGTTTTATATCAGCTCCCAGTAAACCTCTTGCTCATAGAAAGTCGCACAAACCCGAGAGAAATATACCACATTAAATCAAACAGAAATAATTTAATGTTCCTTGGGCGGCCCAGTACCATTTGATCCATGGACAGGTACCGGTCCGCGGCCCTGGGGTTGGGGATCACTGCTTTAACGCTTTACTTTTAACTATTACGGAATTTCCGTATTCCAAGAAAATATATTTTCTAGTTGTAACTAAGTATTTTGATCAATGTTTTAATAAATTAGATTTAAAAGAATTTTTTTTGGTCAACAGTACATCTAAATTATATAAACTAATATTTAAAAGGTCAGATGGACAAATACTCATAGTTAGAAGCTCTTAAAAACGATTTAAAAACATTCTATTTCTATCAAAATTTATTCTTTAATAAACTGTATCAAAATTTATTCAGTTTCAATTTGTATCAAAATTACCGTGTGGAGGCTTTCAGTCACAGGAGGCGTTGGTTTTAACCAGGTTTCAATTTTTATTTTTATTTTTAAAGTGAGCAAAATAATGTGTCTGAGTCGCAGAATCAGGTCATGAATGGTTCTACGTGATAATTCATTAATGAATCAAATTCACGATGTTTGAAGCTTAACTATCTTTTTTGTGTGTGTGTGAAAAGAAACAATGTGTTATTTTTTTTACACTCGATTTCACACAAAAAAGCAGATGATAAGTGGTTCTTTTCATGACTGAGTGATATGAATGAATGAGCATTCAAAAGAGTTAACCTTAACCTTAACTTACGACGTGAATGGTGTCAAGATGAGGTCAACTTACATTAGGCTACTTAAGATGTTTGTAAATGAATATGAGGAAGACATTCTAACAAAAATGTATTAAATCATTACTTTTCCTGCCAACATCACGTTTCCTTTTCTCTTCCGGATATTGAAGTTATTTTTTTTTTATTTCTTAGGGTTTTGATTAATGGCAACATTTAGCAGTCAATATTTTTCCTAGTCGTGATGAAATTACGATTAAATAGATGGAAAAAAAAGCAGAAATTTGTTTAAGTTTCATTAGCATCTAAAACACCATCGTTAAACTGTAACATCGCTTAAGTTCAAATAATTGAAATGCATGCAATGGTTTGCCAACAGCAGTTGGAATAACATAAATAAATAATATTTCCCAGGGGGCGTAGCGTTTTTAAAAAGTGATTAAAGGTGCTTGTTTTTGATTTACCTTTTTTAAAAGGCATTAAAGATACTTTTTTTTGTATTCGGGATTTGTAAAAAGTGCTTAATTTTCTATCTTTTTCAAGAGATTTTTTCTTTGCCGTAGCCATTGTTGTTCTAGGCTACGAAAAAGCATGATTTTCATAATTTTTCTCTGCAATATCTACAAAAACTAGATCATGATTTTGTGAAGTTCTTGAATTTTATTGATTTATATTTATAAATAAAGAACTTAGAAAAAAAAATTATTACTGCACAGATCCAAATTATGATTTTTTTTGTGGAAATGATTAAAAATATTTTTTGAGTGCTTAAAAGTACTTAAAAGGTGCTTATTACTTGTTAAAAAATCTGGCTACGAACCCTGTTTTCTTATTATGCAGAGCTCTCAAAGTTCCGTGAAAAAATATTTAAATGGTTGCTAACTAGTTATCAGCGTCAAAATATGATCAATTTAATNCGAGATTACGATATATGTTCTCAAAACTCTGATTCTGATTCTACAGCTCACCAATTAAGGCCATTTCAACATCACGAAACGAACATCGTCTTCCACAGCGCGAGTCGACATCGGAACGTAAGAGAAGAGTCTTATATCGCTATATCGTTTTCTTATATCCTTGCGTGTCTTATATCGCTGTATCGTTTCGGGCTCGTTGTCTTTACTCGACGGCTTAAATCAGATTTCTGATGTATCGCCTTGAATGAAAGTCGCTGTATCGTCTTGCCGATATATGCGTTAAATCGATTTGTCTCGATACATCGATTTATTGCCCAGTCCTACTCACGAGACGTAATATTGTATTAAATGTATCGGGATTTTAAAAATCTCATGGAAATTATCGGTTATAATTACCAAAAAGAAAAAAAAAACGATTGAAAAAGCTATTGGATTTATAACGTAATCGGCAAAAATAATAACGAGTTAAAATGTGATTACTCAAATTCGAAAATCGCGTATTGTAATATCATATTAAAGATATAATAGCCAACTTCTACGGTCGCTGAAGAAGGTTTTATTAAGTGATAGTAAAACAACAATAAAAGTTGTAAGTATTTTTAAAATCTCAACTATTTAAACACTGAAATGCTACATAAGTTCTAAAATAGATCATAATTAAATATTTTCTAACTACTGACTTGAAGTGGTAGTTTAAAATTTCTTTAAAAAATTCAAATTGAAGATTTAATGCGTCAAAACGCGATAACCACTAAGAGAATGTTTTCTCAGCGGCTGTACAAGTGGGCAGCATTGTAAAGATATTGTAGTTTCTTAAAAATCCTGCGGATATCCAAAGTAATTTCTGCGGAAAATGTGATCGAAATACAACATAGATTTACAATAGAATGTGTGAAAATTGAGCCCGTCAAAAAGTGATAAGTTTCGAAATTTTTTTATGTTGTGTTTAGAAACTTTTGCGGGCCGTTAGCTGTGCTCCCCTTTTTAGATAATATTCAACAAGTGTATCAGACTTCTATGCATACAATAAGTTTCCAAGAACAGTGGATAGAGCGCTCGCCACCCAATGAGTTGAACCGGGTTCGAATCCCAGCGATGGCTGGTTGATACGAATTCTGCACCCGGCTGGCACCGACAGTATTAAAGTAAAATATCCTTGGTGGTAGACGGATCATGGTTAAGATTCCCCTAGCCATCAGGCTAACAGAGGGAGGTTTTCGCCGTTTTTCTCTCAGTATAAACGCAAATGTGGGGTCAGTTCCATCCAAAAGTTCTCCACGTAAGCAAATTTCTCCTAATACTTGATCGAAGAGCTCTCTCCTGGATTAGATTCAAAATTACAAGCTACGGAGTTGAGCATTGATAGTCGCAAACTCAGAATCGGGCCGGCTGCTCTACCACTGTTATAAAGTAAAATAAAATAAATTTCCAAACTTGTGAGTGATAATGAAAAAATTTTTTGATCAATTTGTGAAAACAGGGGGTGTTTTTTTAAGCATAAATTTTTCTAATAGTTTAAAGTTTTGGCGAACCTTTAGGAATCAAGTATTATATTTATTCCTTTCTTTTCCACCTATAAAAAAATTAATTTAAAAACCATATGCTACATATAATTTTGTTTACAAAAGTAGTTTTAATTGCTAGTAATCCCGGTTTCACGTTAGCTTGATTACTGTACTCAATAAAATTTTTCTCATCGCCGAACCACATTCACTAACAGCTTTTATCAATTGATGCTTGCAATCATAATTTCTGAAAGATGCACGATATTTTTCAAAAGCCAATGCTATCTTGATTACCGTAATCAATAACAGTAATTTTTTTTCAAGGAATATTTTATTTTGATTACTATAATCAATTGTAATTTGATCAGTTCTGGACCATAATCACTATCAGCTTTTATCAGTTAAAGTTTGCATTTATATATTTTTTTTAAAATTTCACGATTTTTTTTCCTAATCAACGTTACCTTGATTACTGTAATCAATTACATTTTGCTCAGCACTCGACCATAATCACTAACAATTTTTTTCGGTAGATGTTTGAATTTATAATTTCCGAAAATGTATTGATTTTTTTTCCATATGTCTTCTTCTTTGTTTATTTATTCCTTAACTTTGATTTCAGATAAATTTTTACCAGAAAAGAGGGACTTAATTCCTTCGATTCGAAGAATTCACAATGGAATATGTTGCACAAGGCTTCCGAACACCTTTTGAGTTTTACACATGGATGATGTCAAAAAGTGGTAAGCATTACTACTCATTTTTGTTAAACAATTGGATACCTGAAAGTGACATCATCATTGCATTTGTCGATTCAGGGGCCAATGAGGTTCGACCCACATGTGTGACGTCACTCACAGGTATCCATCAATTAAACCTGATTTAAATCACATGGTTAGGCATAGTTAGACATTTCCTCTCTAGTTGCAAGTACCCAATTGCTTTAAGGATTATTTTATTATGCTATGGTTATTATGGTTTGACCGATGAAACTTGCTAATTGAGACTTATCTATTGGTAGATGATAAGTATAAATTAGAAGATTAGTCTAGTCCCGCAGCGGACTGGTCGTTAAGACACGGTTCCCAGCAGATCACCGAAGTCAAGCATCACTGGCTGCAGTCAGTGTGCAGGTGGGTGACCACTTGGATTTGTCAGCGTAGGGACCGAGGGTGTGCGGTATTGGTCCTCGTTAAACTGTGCTACTGTAAAGTGCTCGACTTCGCGTGCAGGTCGTTAGGCTTCCGAAGCGGGGGTGCCATTCCCTCTACAGAGGATCAAAATTGTGATGGCATGTCTTAGGATCATCCTCAGAGATGTTTCCCAGACCGTCCCCAATAGCCCATTATGCAGCTCTAATGCGACGTAAATGAACTACAACTACAACAAGAAGAAGATTAGTTTAAATTTCTGTTATACTAATTCGATGGCTTTTAAATTTGTCACCTTCTTTTAAAAATTCTTCCAGACCGTAATAGTACTGAATATCAGAGTTCTGTAATTAAAATAGAATTTTTAGACAAGATTATGCCTTACGCAAGGTTTACTATAAAAAATTTACGTTAATTAAAACCTTTAAAAATTTCGAAACCTTAATGAAACATGCGTAACTATTTTTTAAATTTTCCTCAGTTGTTGCCACCCTGACAAAATAAAATTTTCGATCACTATAAACAATTGTTATGGTATGGTTATGGTTATAAATTCAGAAAACTATTTCACCCTTATGTTCTTTATGTGACTCAGCCTTTCATCCTTTCGATAAGTGAGTACCAAGCATGCTTGGGAACTAAACACTGGAGGTTTCGCGTTTGGCTGACCAATTTACCGGAACATCTGCTCCTGCACCCCAGAGCCCAAGGTCAAGAAAATTGAGATGGGCACAGTAGGCCTCGGCCCTCTATGGGCTGTCGCGCCACTGAGTTTAGTTTAGTTTTAAAATGAACACTCGGGCAACCGTAACGACTGCTAACCAAAATGATCTCAACCCACTGCATAATTACAAACACAATGAATGGGATAAGGGCCGCTGCACGGCCCAGGCACCTAGATGTTATAACAAACTAGGACTAATTGCACGCTACACATATAGGTTAAATTTGCAAGACATAAGGGCAATAATTAACTCTTTATTATACATGACTTTTTAATGTTTCGCCTTAAATTATAATAGGTCATGATGCGAAACAGTGTTTTTTGTTTTCTTCCGTTTATTGGTTTGACTTTACGGTTCAATTAAGCTATAATCGATGAAGAAATCGGTAGACAATTGATATACTATCTTTGTAAACCGAAAAAACTTGGTAAACTGCGTGTATTAAATTGTTTTTATTCCTTCACAAATACTTTTGAAGGATTTGTCATGCTTCCTTGCTTTTTATCAAATTGGTAGCATATGCGAAATGCATTTAACTTTCAAAGTGCCGACAAGCAATAAATATTTTTAATGTGGTCAATGATTTTTATTGTGAAAGTTCTAAAATTAGGTTAATTTGTCGACAAATTTCGATTACTTACTAACTATTAGAGCAGTAACGCTTTAGAGCACGATATATAAACTTAATTGTAAAACTTAAACGATTTTTAATGGAGTTTATGAGTTAGGAGTAAAAGTTTGAGAAATCAAAAGGACTAATTCAATGTAACAGATATTAAGAGAAATCTTGTTGAAAAATGTCTTTAAAAATGTATTCTTTTTATTTAATATTTATAATTAAAATGATGTAAAATAGTTAAATTGCAAGATATTGCTATGTATTTTAAAGTATCAATGCTTCTTGAAGATTTATCCTAATATTAAAGTTCCGAAAATATCAAGCAATATTGTTTAACATTTTATAGGCGATATTTTCTAAATTTTCAGCTATTCCCCTCTCATTAGGCTTTTTTTTAAAATTTTTTAATCTTGATTTCCAATTGTGCTGGAGTTTCAATATCACCCAGCTCTAGTGATTTAACTTTTTACAGGCGACATGTTAATAAATTTTAGCTATTCCTATCAATAATGTCTTTGAACTTTTGTTTTTCTTTTAAAATGTAAGAATTCCGATATCCTGTAGCATTAGTGTTTTATTTATTTATCTTTTTTTTGGCGATATTGTCTTACTTTACTGCTATTCTAAAAATTTTAAAAGCGCGTTTACGTTTAGCACTTGCGTTTTAACATTTGACAAGACATTCTTAAATTTCCGTTATTCCTGTCATTAGGCATTTTGAACTAAAATTTTTAAAAGCACGTTTACGTTCAGCACTTGCGTTTTAACATTTGACAAGACATTCTTAAATTTCCGTTATTCCTCTCATTAGGCATTTTGAACTAAAATTTTTAAGAGCGAGTTCACGTTTAGCACTTGCGTTTTAACATTTAACAAGACGTTCTTAAATTTCCGTTATTCCTCTCATTACGCATTTTGAACTAAAATTTTTAAACGCGCGTTTACGTTTAGCACTTGCGTTTTAACATTTGACAAGACGTTCTTAAATTTCCGTTATTCCTCTCATTAGGCATTTTAAACTAAAATTTTTAAAAGCGCGTTTACGTTTAGCACTTACGTTTTAACATTTGACAAGACATTCTTAAATTTCCGTTATTCCTCTCATTAGGCATTTTGAACTAAAATTTTTAAGCGCGCGTTTACGTTTAGCACTTGCGTTTTAACATTTGACAAGCGACGCATTCTTAAGTTTCAGTTATTTCTCTCAATAGGCTTTTCGAACTAAATTTCAAAACACACGTTTCCGTTCAGCACTTGTGCTTTAATGTTTGACAAGCGACACATTCTCTTTAGTTATTCCTCTCACTAGGCTCCTTAAATTAAATTTTATCCGTGCAAATATTCTGCTATCGCTTAGCACTAATGCGTACAGGCAGAGTCATGGTGGCTCAGGGGATAGAGAGATCGCCTTCCAATGAGGTGAAACGGATTCGAATCCCAGTGATGGTTGGTCGATACGAAATCCATATCCTGCTAGCACCAACCACAGTGCTGGTATCCTCAGTGGTAGATGGATCATGGATTAGAGTCCCCTTGTCGTCGGTCTTACCGTGGGAGGTTTTCGTGGTTTTCCTCGCCGTGTAACGCAAATGTGGGTTAGTTTCTTCAAAAAGTCCTCCACAAAGGCAAATTTCTCTCAATACTTGAATCAGGAGTTCTCTTGTCTTCTGGATTCGGTTCAAAATCACAAGGCTATGGAGTTGAACATTGGTAGTCGTAAGGTTATGCTCGTAAATTTTAAGTTCTTTTGATTATACATTTACTGTGTTTAAAAAAAATTTTTTTCCTGGAACTTGATACCTTAAGTACTGTTCTGTCAGCTGTGATTATATTCTGAGTTACAAACATCTTATATTTAACCATGTGTAATTGTTTCTTTTTATTAACTTTGCACTCCTACTGAAGATGCGATATGCTTCTGATTGATATTGTTTATTTTCTTTGTAACGTTAGTTTGCATTTAGTTCATTTTTAAGTTACGCTGTTTTCTGGATTTCATATTTAATATTCTCCCTATTTGTTAAAACTCTAATTTGATAATTTTGAATATGTTTGCTTATGTGATTGAACTGTTGCGCGCACTTCGGATGACCCCTTGCAGGGGGCGGGATGGGGTTAAGCTAGTTATTGGTAATCTAATCATAAAATTAATTCACTTTACGAAGTCAGTTTGATACATAGCAGGTAAATAAACATTTTGAAACATTAAATCAAATTGGAAAAGCGCACACGACAGCTGAAACCAAATTTGTTTTATATAATAGAAATAAGACCTATATAAAATCTTTACAATTAAAAAAGTGAAAATATGAATGTGTGTTTGCAAAACAGTACTTCATCAGGGGACACACTGCCTGCAAACACACAGGAGCCTTTCTGTTGTTAGTGGATTTAACCAAAACTAACAGTGCCCCGAGGCCCCATAATGAAAAGACAGAAATAGATAACCTTTACCACAATTGAAAAGTACTATAAAATTGAAAAGGAATCACAACTAAAAAGAATCACAACTAAACCAACAAATGAAACGCCTCCTTCAAATCACAATATAAATAAATGTAAGTAAGTAACAGTTACAGTTAATTAAAGTGATAATAATAAAATATATTCCGTATCAGTAAGAGAAAAATCAAGTGCTGACACCTGTTTTGGAATTTCTAAACATAAAAACATCTATTCAGTAAGCCGACAATTTAATCGACTGTTCAACGACGGTTATAAAATAAAATAAAATGCTTGCATGCAACAACACAATCTAAATTTTTAGTTATTCCTCTCACTGTGAAATAAATTTCTGAAAATACAACTATATTCCTCAGATTCTTGGTATGAAAATAAATAAATAAATAAAGAGAGAGGTATGAGGGCGTGGATGATGAGTTCGTTAATCTTATCGCGTCTTCCTTATTGCCTATTCTGTCAATGGCAAGGCTAAGTGCGTAACCTAGTGCTTGCGATTTCCCATTCAATTAGCATGCTCCCAACATAACTCGGTCGGTCAAGTGCAGCTGAGATACCTAATAAAAGTGCCTCAACAATCTCGGTCAATCGTTTATTGGAAGCATGTTCTTTTTTGAGTAACGCTTGAATTGTTTTTGTGGAAGAGGAAAAGGGTTTATAGTTTTTTTTTTCTTTTCTTTTTTTGTTTTATTTCTTTAAGAAAAGATGTAAACAATAACTTTGACTTTTAATCCCCCAAAAACTATGCAACCTCTATAGAGTTGTGTTGTTACAGCGTTTTGTTTCGATTACTCGTGATGCGTTGTAAACAAGATATAATTACTATGTATGGGAAAACTGAATTATTGCTGATTATTATTTTTATTTTAGTTTAATGACTTAGGGTTGGCTTACATAATTTGTATTTACTAAATGATGACCATCTAAAATATGTATAAGGTTATGGGAACACAATTTCCAGAATTGTTCTTATAAAGGTTTTTTTTGTAATTAATCTCAATTTTCTCTCTAAAATATAAATTATGAGCCATTGCTTGTGGAATTTTTGTTGCTAGAAGGTAACATTAATTCCAAAGCTAAAACACTTCCAGCTGATGGACGATTTAAAAACAATATATCATTTTTTGATGTTCTACTTTGAAATAATATTTTAATATTTTGAAATTGAAAACTTAGAACTCGAATCATTGAAATAAAAATTTTATAAATTTTAATGGTGCAAAAAATTTTGTTTCTCAGGTTTTGCATCCAAAAAAATATTTATTCAAATAAAAAAATAATCGTGTATGTTGCTCTTCTTTATTTCATTTTTTTGTATTTTGTGAATATAATTTAGCATGTGTGTATCAGAAATTTTCTCGAAGAAATTCTCCGATTTAACTTTTTGAAACCACTCATTTTGGACGAAAATATTTACACACACATTTGTAAATTTTAAATTTAAAATGTAAATATCTATTTTCTGGTGGTTGTAGCAGACAAACCTCAATTTTGTCATTGAACATTTTGTGTGCTACTATGCAAATTAACAATTAGATATCTGTTGCACATTAATTGTTTAATTTATAGGTTCACATTAAAGTCATTGTAGCCCGAATTTTTTAATATGCAACTAAATATTTTTAAAAATCTACTTCTTATTTTAATTTGTAATTCAATACTTTTGTTTTGTACAACTTGGTAAAAATCTGACAGTAATATTTAATGTTCCTTCAAACATAAGAGTCCTACATAAACATTTTGATATTAAAAAATGTTTATGTAGGAAATGTTATGTAGGAAAAACACAAATCAAATGGCGGCCCGCCATTTGATTTGTGTTTTTAATTGTGGCCCCCGGCCTCATGTAAGTTGGAAAGCCCTGATCTACATATTAAAAAAAATATCACAAGTTTAAAATCTACTTGGCACTTTGGCGATTGTTGTTGGCGCAACAGATCACGATACGGAAATATTCCCTTTTATTATTCAACGAATTTCATTCTCTATTTACTATTTTATAATTTTCTTTGTTCTGAAAGAAGAGAAGGAGAAAAAAAAAAGCTGAAACAAAATCTCCCACTTTGAATAATGTGAAATAAAACATCTCGTCTATCGGGCAGCATTTGTAGCTGTAATTAATTGATGGTACTTAACTCAAGCCTTTGAACTCTTGATTATTCAGGAAGTAATAACTTGGCATACAACTAGCGGATTCCTATTCAACTGTAACAAATTTTCGCCGCAGTGGTTAGTTGAAAATGACCTCACGTACATGTTTAATTTGCAAAACCCACTGCCATATTTCAGATGATAACATCTTTAAAACAAATGTGTCACATGTTCTGCTTACGGATATCGAATATTTTTGGCCATATTTATTTTCTGTTTTTAATGTGTGTCGTAAGGTCAGCTCCTGTTTGAAACATAACTCAGAACGGGTTTCATTGGTCAGTAATAAGTGATGTAATAAAATATAATCTCTTTTCTTGTTGTTGTTTATGTTCTATTTCTTATCGATATTCCTAGCAATGATGAATTGCCTGATCTTGATTTAATATGTGGGTTTACTTAGCAAGGCAAAATGAACATGTTTTTTTTCTTCTTTTTATGATTAACTGATTTGGATGCTCTAGATCAATTTTAAATGGAATAGTTTAAATGGAATGTTCAGGAATGTTTAAATTTGTATGCATTTCATTTGTTATGCATTGCGGAAATGGTGTTTTTGAAGTAAAAATAGTTGTAACAGCTACCGGTGTAATTGTTTTGTGACTGAGTGTTTTGTAATTGTGGTGTGATTGAGTGTTGTGATTGAGTTGTGCGATTGTGAGGAATAAATGTAACAATTACTTCGGTTTTCGGTTGCATGAGATTATTGATCGGATCTTAGATATTTTACCGTTGCTGAATTAAAATTAGATATCGGTCTCTCTCGATAAGCTACATTTCTTATGCAATTAAATAATGTATTCCTATCAGGATTTTTTAAATCTCGTTTGAAGGAATACTTATTATCCCCTCTTATGTGCTACGTAGGGAGTGGTGGAAATAAAGCGATACTACATTTCTGTTTATAATGCGATATATTATATATGCGAGTGCAATTTATGAAAATAACCTTATATCATATAAAACAGTTCACATTGTAACAGTTTTTATCTTTCTTCACACTTTTTTTTTTAATTTCGATGTTTGTAATTTCAATTTAGAAATTTTAATAATTCATATCCCTGGAAACATATAATATCGTCAAGGGCAAGTTTATGATATAAAAAACGTGAGAGTGATAAAATTTTCGATAAAAATGGGCAAATAATTATTAAGGAAAAGGATTTGTGAAAACACTTAAAATTTTGATAACTTTCAAACAAATTGGAAATTTGAAGGGAAAAAAAACTCCAGCTAAGTTTCCAATTCAAAATCGTCCTCTCATAATTTAAATTCCAATTCTGTATTTGCATTTCGGCAGGCCAACATGGCTATTTTTACTACAAGTTTAACAATTCATAATTCTTGAAATAGTAATCGAATCGTATTTTTTTATTCCTTCCAACTCCTACTGTGCAAAATAAATAGATAAATAAGATAAAAAAATATCACCTTAATAACCTTCGTTTTAATGATCTGATTTTCACGCACCAAGTCATGGGTGAAAGCCCTTATATAGCAAGACGGAAAAGAGAAAAACCTGGTACGTAAAACATTTCATTCCAGCATTTTTTTCGAAAAAAATGAAATATCTGTAACTATCAAGATTTCTTTTATAATTCTGGCATATATATAAAACTGCTTCTTTTCCAAGATAAAGTAGATATTGTTGAAAAATT